CTATCTATCTATCTATCTATCTATCTATCTATCTATCTATCTATCTAAATTAAACACAAATCAAAGCTGGTGATTCAGATTTTTTTTAACTTAAAAGTTTGTCTCTGTGGTAACTGTGATTGGCAAACATTTAATCTGACGCTTAATGTTGCTCAGTTGACGTACGTGATTTGTTTTTGTTTGGCTTTTGTAGAATAATCAGCAGCACGGTTCTTATATTAAGTCCTTTTTTTTTTTTTTTTATAAAATCTCAGTCAGCTGAGGGTTCGATCATGCTGTTAAGCCATAAACAGTTTGAAGTGGTAAATCTGGATAAATTACAGGACAGTATGTCGCGTCCTGACACGGAGCATCTGCTCCTGTCTTCACATGACTCGGCAAAAAGCCTCTTAACCTGGTGACACGTCTTGAACCGGAAGCGAGCATATGCTGCTGACTGTACCTGTTCACATGTGACTCATCAGAATCTGATGGCCCGGCCTTGTGCTGAGCTGACCCGGCCAATCAGTCATGTGGCTTCTGTCTGTGGCAGCTGTGTGTCTGCGGATTAACAGAAGTTTGTGTTTTTCTTGTGTTTCAGAGTGCCAACAGTTCCAGTAAAGAACCTGAATGGATCCAGCCCTGTGCATCCTGCCTTGGCAGGTAAAAATATACAAACAGCCTCATCAAAAACATTAAACTGCTTTGATTAAACAACAACAAAAAAAACTTTATTAGTGGGATGCTTACGAAGTGGATGGGCAAGTGAAAAGTTATTGTTGATAGAAACCTGTATGAAGTTCCATATAAAATTATGTTTGCTGATTACCACAAAACATGTAGAGGACAAAGCAAATATATGAAAGGAGCTCTGATCTGATGCAATGGAATGGGTTTGCTCAAAATATATTCAGGTATTAAAATGGCCAAGTCAAAATCCAGATATAAAGCCAAATTATAATAAGAGGTAAGATGTGAAATTTGCTGGATTCAGGTGAATCTATGGTAAAGACGGTCTTTAGATGTGCAGGTCTGAAACATACATTGGAGTTTTAATAGTAAATATATGTAATTTTACATCCATTTCACAATTATGAACTACTTCCGACAAATAAGATGCACAGATGAAAAGGTTGAAGGTGTTCTCATTACTTTTGCAAGGTGCTGTATTTGGAAGGCAGGATTAATATGTCCTCGCCTCACTGGCTGTTCACAGGTATTACGGGCATCCTGATGAGTGCTGCGGGACTTCCTGTCTGCCTCACACGCCCTCCTAAACTGGTACTTCATCCCCCACCTGTCAGCAAGAGCGACATCAAACCTGTGCCTGGCTTGAGCCAGAGCTGCCGCAAAACCACAAAGAAGCAAGCTCGGAAAGGTGGGCCTCTTGGCTTGTGCTGCCGTGTTGTTTTTGACTGATAAAACCTATAATAAGCTTGGTCTATCTTTGTTGGGGTTTTTTCCCTCACAGGCAAAACACCAGAGGAAGTGGTGAAGCGTTACCTTCAGAAAGTCCGAAATCCTCCAGAGGAGGTGAGTTAGCCTTGTGTTAAATATGTATTTTTGGTTTGTTTTGAGTTAGCCTTGTGTTAAATATGTATTTTTGGTTTGTTTTGA